AACCATACGTTTTCACAAATAAAAAGTGCATCGATCGTGACGGGCTTCTTACGCCAAACCACTTTTTTTCGCCGATTAATATGTACTAAATAATGCACTGTCCACGGGCCTGATATACAGTGTAGCCTACATGTACATGATAGCATGCTCAGTAGTTGGATGATTTCCTACCCATCTTCCGCACGTGGCAGTCATTGTATCTGTCCCTGCAATCCTTTTGTTTTGATATCAGCCCCGTGGTATGTATATAAAAAATCCACTTACCTCCCTATCCAAGCAGCAACGGTCAAAATAGTAGTTTAAGCGAGGAAACGTTCCGCCATCTTGGACGCCTTTTTCATCACTAACGCATGATGACCTATTTTTCCGCGCCTGTGATTCGTCAAATCTTGGAAGAATCTTGGAAGTCTCAACGCCTCGTGATTGGCTAGTGAGCAGATCTTGGAAGAATCTTGGAAGGTTTTGAGGGACGCGATTGGCTGATTTTAGGCAGACTGTTGAGAGGCTACCCTCTACCAGGGCGACAGATTGTTGTCAACAGACCAAAATGAACGTCTATTTATCTATCAGCTCGTGGACCGTCTATTTATCTAGAGGTGTATCTGTGAATATCTGTGGAAAATCAATCTGTCGCCCTGGTAAAGGGTAATGAGAGGCCGGGAGACCTAGAGAGGCGCAAACCGGGCTCCTTACGCTTGTTTTTCGGAAGAACGAGCGTCCACAAACGACAAGGGCAAAGAAGTTTGTTCCTCTAACTCTTCCAAAAATAACTATAAAATAATGTTATTACATTTTATAAGCCAAGAGGTGTATGCTAAATAATAAACAATCAAATTAAAACCTATCCAACTAAAACTGAGACTGCATTACGGAGTATATCGAATTTCAACTAAACCATCATGCAAGTACAGGTGTTTCGGTAATCTTCGTCAGTTAAAATTATCACACACCCCATTTGTGTTCTATGACTAAGCTACTGGTTCAGTAATGTCACGTTAGGAAAATGAATGTCAGCAAATTATTTCGACGTCTCATTTTTCTAAAATTTTTTACTTCTGTCCAAGATAGGTTTCGAGGATATTTTTAAGTCTCGACATGAAGTACAAACTATAAAGTACACTTTTACGATGTTTTATCGTAAGGTTAATATAAAGCTTAAACCTTTTTGAATAGCCAATCAATAAATAATGAAATTTTCATTCAATCGATTCTTTTTCTCTGTGAAACCATTTGTTACCTTCAAATGTAAATTTATCTGATGGATATTCTAATTTAAACTGCATTGTTGCTTAAAAGAACGTTTAAGCAAGATCAATCACCGAACACTACTGAGGTACATACTGCATTTGAGGAGAAATATATTAAAATATGAATGAATGAATGAATGAATGAATGAGTGAATGAATGCCAAAAAGTATATATAACTGAGTTTGGAGAAAGCGTTTAAGTCTTTAAACAGTCGAAGATTTTTAATTCTCAGAGAGAGAGAGAGAGAGAGAGAGAGAGAGAGAGAGAGAGATATTTACGTCCATTATATTTTCGCCAAGCTACTTAAATGCACGCCCGTGCAAGTTTCAATGTTTCTGCATTTCTTCAGCTGTAGGGCTACACTTTTTATTCTTATTTCTTTACGGGATGGACGAAAGATCAAGGAAAAAGAAATGATTGTTACTTTGTCAGGTTTCGCAACTAACACACTTGGAAGATAAGGTTCGTAATGTGCAATAGTCTGCTAAATCAATGTTGTAAGACAAGGACTAGCTTTTAAACAAAAACTTTTCGCAGCTCTTTATTTTGTTTTATTTAACCAGCAGTGAATAACCTGTGCTTAATTGATCTAAAATTGTGCATTATTCTAAAAAGAAATATACTCACTAATTTCTGTGTATATCTGCAACTTGTAAATCACTACGACTTCAATAAACTATATATTTATTAAACAATTTGGGAGTGGGGGCGGGGGAAGGGTACATGCCAGCTGTTGCTGATGGCTTGGCCATTGTATTTACGCATATGTATATATAAATATGTACGAACTGTCAGCATTCCATTCCGAATTCAGCTGCCAGTTGAACTTTTCTCTTTCATCTCTTCTTATTAAGCCCTAGTATGTTAGTTCGTGCTTTGCATGACATGCTGAACACACGGCTTACTAAGTGCCGCAGGTGCGAGGTGACTTTCCCAACCCAAACAGAACCTGTTTGATACTATTTATTCCAGTGGAATATCTCTGATGAATATTATACTCTCTCTCTCTCTCTCTCTCTCTCTCTCTGCGCGCGGGAGAGCGCGCGTGTTCTTTAATGTTATTTGAATCTGAATTTTCGGATGTTTTTATTAACCTGGTGTACATTGAAATATGTCCATTTTACACAAAAAATATGAAAAATCGTCGTTAAGACAGACAAGACATGTCAGTTCCTTTTTGTTTTCTTTTACTCATTGTTTCCCTATTCAATCTTTCTTATAAACACATTCCTATTATTTGCAGACGTCCTCTTCGTATGTTCCCTTTGTCTTATTCTTATTCCAGTTTCCATTTTTTAAATAATTCTTACAATCCTCATTCCCCTATTTAGATTACATCTTACTCCACAACCCTGTTAGCTTTCGTGCCGTGCAGTTGCACCCTGCGTTTCAGAGGTCACTGGAATCTTGAAGCGACAGAAGCACGCTGAAAACGGAGCAGAGTAAAATTTCCAGACATCCCTGGAACTCAGGGTACGCAGAGCGGATTTTCAGGAGCGGCAACCTGCCATCAGAGAGTGGAATTTAAAAGCAGGAAAATCATCATTTCTGTCATACCAAACAGCTCTGCAGAAAACGCTGTAATTAAAGAATGAAGAATTAAGACAGCTGACAGGTGGGAGGCTAAAGGTATAGTCAAGACGTTATCGTTTGTGAAGTTTTGAGGTTTCTTGCTGAAGTTGCAGAGAAACCTACCAATATACGAGTGCCACTTTTACTTTGTGCTCCTGGAACACCCTGGTACGTGTACCACGGGGGAGGGGGGGGGGTATTATCCTGAAGCATTCAGACATCAAAATATTTTTTTCGAAGAAGTTTGCAATCGTCCACTCATGCCTTCTTGCCTTCCACCCCACACGATTGAAACTAAATCCGGCACATAAATTATTTCAATGAGACAAAAACTTTCAAACGAACTTAATTAATACTTTGCTAGTACCTAATACGTTTTGTCTCGAAGAATATTTGAATCATGGTAATTTTCGTTAGCTGACGGAGGCATAAATAATGCATATATTTCCTGTTATTAATGCACGGGTATCACAACGGTAATGGTTTTAGTAAGTGATAATAATGTTATATAAAATAATAAGCCCTTCTGATACGTTTTGTTGGAAAGCAATTAAATGGTGGTGAGCTACATCATGACGTTTTCAAACCCACGCAGCACACTACTATGAACTGCGGCAGATTGAAAAAAAACAAAACATAAAGGCTTTGCCGTAGTCCCATATACGGGTATGAACATAAAAAATTGACAAGGATCATTAAATTTCACTTGCTCTTAATTCCACTTGCTCCTAATTTCCCTACACACAATATTCAAAATGTCTGTAGTGTCATACATGTAGCTTATACCTCTTCAGCTGTTGTGTTTTTATATTTTAACTTAAACAACAGTATATGGCATCTACAGAGGTGAGGAGGGTCTGTGCTTAAAAGAACTAGGGCGCTTTTTGTTTGGAAAATGTTAGACCTAGATCAAAAGACGGTTCGTTGTGCATTAGGCAAAAACACATGAAATTCAAGTTAAGACAGAGACATCACGTTCACGCGTACATTTATTCCACAGAATTATTCCAAACACTTAACAGAAAACAACATTATCCCGTGCATGAAACATTATGATTTATGAGTAACATTAGGTATGGCGTATTCATTTTTCAGAGATAAGAAAAATGAGCTAAAGGTTATGATACACTCTAGCACAATGAACTGATGATAGCCTATGTGTACCCTCTACAAGGACCACATATTGATTTTTCACAAAATATTCACAGATATGTCTTTAGATAAATAAACTGTCATTTTACTATGTCTGACTTTTGGTAATTTTCCCTATAATATCTGTCACCCTGGTAGAAGGTAGCTTATATGCAGCAATTTAGTATATTATATGTAGCTGCTGCGGCAACCCTATCAGTATAATTTCACCTCCCTTAGCAAAATATCAGGCCTGCTGCATATTTGCAGCAAATGTGCTGCAATGTTGCTGAAAACTGCAATTCCTTCTTGCAAATTAGCAGCAAGAACATTTTTCTTGCAAACTCCTTCAAACTCCTTGCTGCAATCTTTTAGTATATTGCGGCAACCTTTTCATTTTGCAAAGGGAGCTTGTATAATGTACTATTCAAAACATGGTTAGCATAAACTACGGTTTCGTGGCTCATTGCCTCCACCACAGACTAAAGGTCTTTTTTGTCGAGCGTTATTAAGTCCCCCCTCGGTATTATGATAACCCAGGGCACCACTGGTTATCTGTTTAAACATTCAGCTTCGACGCTCAGATATAACACTTGCTGTGAAAAGACTTTAAATATCTGAGCCGAACTAGTGCATCTTTCCTTTGAAATCCATCCAAAATGATTTTTAAAAAATATTTTATTAAAATAACCCATAAAACCGGGTTTGTTTGAACGTGTCAAAACATTTGATTATTTCAGATTGTTTAAGAGTTCACATTTAAGGAAGAGGTATGGGGTATATTTCCCTTAATTAGTGTGGGAAATGGTTGGTGCCTATTACATGTATACTGACAGGTTATGAAAACGCATCATTTATTTATCAAATAATATTTTATGTTCCTTTGGAACATTAAGAAAATAACAGTTTTCGTGTGAAATATGACCCATTATTCAGTCAAACAAGGTGACTCTCTTATGACCAAACAGGTGCATTTGTACTCGTTTATATGGTTGGAATCGATTCTCGGTAAAAAAGTACAAGAAAGTTTTCTGATGCGTTTTCATTGACTGTCAGTATATTTAGACATAATTTAGCTAAGGATTGTATTTTTTCACACAAAAAAAGCATTCAGTGGTAGTGAAATTACTGTGTAGTATTTGGTTATTCTAAATTCTAAAACAATATCGTAGGCAACCATCGTAGTATTTTCCAAATCAATAACGTTTTTCACAATGGCGACGTGCTAATAACCCTTCTCTTTGCAGAGATGGTAAAACTGGCATCACGGGGGCTGTCCATACAAGGACACATCGGCAAAAACTCTCGACTAAAAGCTCCCCTGAACTCCTTCGAAACAAAGTTATAAAGAATGGGATTTAAGCAAGAGTTGGCAAAAGTAAGTACGGTGAAAAACAGCTGTGCCACAGCTCGGATTTCTTGGCTACACGCAAAGTGCTGATGGCCATCATCCGTCGCATGTATGATGACGTTATACATGAACAATATCATAGATGGCGCCCAGCATATAAGAAAAACTGCAAACAATATAGTCACCAGCACCATCAACCTCTTCAGCGCTCTTCGCGGGGAATTATGAGTACTTTCCACGTGCTGGCACGGCACATGTGCCAAATTTTCCTGCTCATCTCTGACTTGGCGAGCTTGGATGATTATGAGAATCGACAGAACGGCGATAATTATAACAGGGAGCGTGAAATCAATTCCAAAGATTACGGTCACGTAGATGTAATAAAGTGAAGCGTCCCCCTGTATTCCACACACCCGTTCTTCAGTCTCGTGCATTATGAACAACAAGGGCGCATTCAGAACGAGCATGACAGCCCACGTGACACAACTTGCCTTTATGGCGGTACTACGGTGAAGAATCTTCCGCAGAACAAAAGGGTACTTCAGCCCAGCAAATCGAAGTAGGCAGATAGAGACCAGTGAATAAATACTCACACCCATGGATACGTAAAAGGAATAGTACGTTGTCTTGCAAAGAAAAGGACTGATGCGAATTTCTCTATCGGTAGCGATGAAGAGAGCGTTGATCGGCAGGCATAATACATTGAATAATAAATCTGCAATTGCCAAATTGAGGAACAAAATGTTCATGCGTCTGTTTTTATAGACGACGTAAATTACCATAGAGTTTCCCGTGATTCCGACAAAGCAAAACACACCTATTATAACCGGAAGTACAACTTTTACGATTTCGTAATCTACTTGCCAGTGGCATGTGACATTCATCGCATCAGCAGAACTGGAATCGCCTGTAAAATTGAAGCCGTTTGTGAAATTTATGTCCTTCGTAAAGTACGATCCACATGATGCATTATATAATTTTTGTCGTAAAGCGTTCATGTTTATATCTCCAAACACTGTCTGTGAATCCAAGTTTGTGAATTTTAGTGAAATTAGGCAGAAAGCACCGTGACAAAATCCACCGTGTGTTTGTCGCAGCGAGGAGCAGTTTGATTGCCAGAAAATGTTCTCGAGACACGCAGTCAATTTATATGAAATAAAATGAAATTGATTTTTTACAGACGATATATATATAATCAAACTTTTCTTTTCGGCGAAATAACAGTTTATAACAAGATTTGTTTTAATCACTTTTCCAAGACAACTTGCTTATCGAACGTTGTGTAGGTCCAACTCAATGCGCGGTCAATTTTACTGCCGTCTTCCTCAATTAACTGCCGTCTTCCTCAATTAGCTGACAAGAACTAATATCATTACAAATGATCCGTACATTGCACGCCGGTTTACGACAGGTTACCTCTATCTCCAACACTTCCACGGGCACGGCCACGATGCTGAAACCAAATTTTTCTACGATTAAGAATTTTCTTTAGTTGGCCTACGGAGTTATAGAAATAATCCTTCTGACAAAAAACGTTGATTCTTCAATGCAACCAGACAGAAAACCTCTATCACAGGGCGTGGTATGTCGAAGTTGACATCATAATTCAACGGATATCGCAGCACTCATAGGGACTTTGGACACAGTTGATTGGAATCACTTCGAATTATTTCTGATGGTTATTGCTGACACAGAATGCCATAATTAATTTTCCACTGTAATTCGATAGCACGGTCAAAGTGGATATGTCTCTATGGAGGCCAATTGAATTAAAACAGTAGGTCCCACACTTCTAATTGAATATGATGAAATTGTCTTCGCCCTGGGTATGAATATAATCCCACCTTCGCCACGATGAAATTAGTTTAAGACTGCATTTTGAAGCAATCGATGATATGATGCTAAAAGTATTGATTATCGCTATGATTACTACTCATGTGCAAATTCCAATCGTTCAAAGTCGACCGCCGTAAAACCAAGTGGTGAAATATATCGCCCTTGCAATCACCTCACAGCGTAGTTTAGAAAGTCCGCACTGATAAAAAAACTGGAAAAAATATCTTGCTTTTCCCCTGCTCTTCTTTACAAGCCACGATACAGTTAACCTGAAGTAGTTCGTTCCCAGGTCCTGTCAGCAAGCGGAAACATCCAACAGTGAATATATATATATATATATTTCTTCTCAGCTCTTAATTAATTCTGCTCGCTGTTTGCGGCTGGATCGGGTTAAAAATAGCCACTTAGGGGCCATCACGTGATCACTTCAACACATCCTAACTTCCAGGTACTGACGAAGAAGATTCAAAATCCCCTCTTCTAATTCTTTTCACTAACTAAAGCAAACAGCTTCATAGGTTCTTATTACATGCGCAATAGTATAACTGTATGGTAAAAATATACTCTCGTCTGTGCTAATTTGGATGTCTGCCTTTGCAACTCTCCGGCTGGACGCGGAAAGAATAAGAACATAGGCTTCCTAATGGTTTCCCTGGAAAACAACAGTAGTGTATTAGCGTATTGATGGCGTTTCTCGATTTCTCTTGGGAAATTAAATCTCATTTGTTTTCTATTGTGTTCTAAAAAAACAGGTCGATTATATTCTATTCTTTAAATTTTGGCTTTAAGATATCGCACGTGTATAAATCAAGTTGCGGGATGATTTTGCTCTTTAACTACAACTAGATGAAAAATCGCCCAGAGAACAAAATAAGGGTTTCTTAGAAGAACAATAGTAATTCAAATCTGTTCCAGTGATCAGTAAACAATATGCTATCAAATAACAGTCAAGGTTATCCATGCAACTGAACTTGCTCATAATATTTGAGCGCTTGTACTGGCACGTGCACACGCAAATCAAAACAACATTTGGAAGCTGGGCAGACGACAAAACAGATAATCAGACAAAAAATGTTAAACTAAATATTCGATATTTGCTTATTAGGAAATCTTATTTTCCTAAAGCATTAGTTGACACCTGATAAAATAATATGTAAAAACATAATAACTATCACAGCATGTTTGGTAATTTCACTCCAGGTTCAACTTGCAAACGCTATCAGTGAGATGGAAAATTACGTTTTGATCGTGAAATCAGCCAATCAACCAGAACCTCATTTGACCTTGACGTTGACATTTATTCACTTTTCCTTCTAAGACAACATATTTTTTCGCATTTTTTGATTCAACAAAATGATTACTATATGGAAAATATTGAGTACTAAATTCATATCTTATACATCTAATCTACTACTAGGCTTCAATGCATGTCATTTATCAAATTACTTATTTTTCAAATGAAATATATAATGTGGACAAGCATGATCCGCAGGTGAATTATATCATCTATATTGGCATAGTTGTCTGTATAAACTTGGCCAGTACCAATTACGCCTGACACGGTACTGTGGATGGATAATATGGAGCATTATGCTTGCATTTAATAACTTTAAAGCTTTTGTTCAATTGAACTTACTTTGATCCTGTTAATTTGCAATTACTGAAATCGTAACCATTTAACTTTATAACAGAATGAATCATGTAGATTCACAACAACGGCACAAACAAAACAACGACCATTGACCCTACACCAACAAATATCCATGTACAACATGTCGGAACGCTAAGTGTTTTTGTAAAAAATTTAAACAATTCAAGCATAGCCGTTTGTCATCAGCATAGGGTATATACCAAAACTACAGCAAATACACTTCATCTACTAGAAAAATACCAAGAGCATCTTCAAATGTTTTCACTCATTCTAAAAAAATTAAATAATTCAGTGACTATTATCAAAGTGGACTTTAAAATGATAATCACTACTATAATTTCTGAAATATTCCATTAATTTAGCAACGGTGTAGTTTGGAATGAAGTATTTAACATGAATCTGCACCAACATATATGTAGCTCAATTGTATATATATATATATATGACCTCTAATTACTCATTTAAAAGACACCATATAACATCTTTCATTCCTCAACTGGACATCTGGAGGCACAGGTCCCCCCCCCCCCCCACACACACACACACACACACACACACACACACAAAACTGGCGCAAAGGCTTTTACAATGAACAGCCCGGTTGCAAAGAAACACAGCCACCTGAAATAAAACCGAAAGCAGATAAGCACATTGTAACATCGATTTTTGGATGCGTACCATTTTGAGAGAATAGTAAAACATGTTGTAAATAGTAAAAGATGTTTCTCAAAAGGAAAACGGCATAAAATCTCTTATTACATCAAATCTGTTTTCAAGGATCTATCAAAGCCAAATTGATAATTAGAATTAAGAACGCATTAAACACGAGAAGAGTGGAAAAAAATGTCGGTGTTATAAATTATCTTATCCGAAGCGACAACTACAAGTGGAGGTTATTACGAGAGCTTTGATCTACTTCTTGAGTGACTGTTCCAATAATCTCTCCCTCTTCAAACGAGTTTGCCACCTTTTGGAAATAGCCTTCTTCCCACTTATCAACATTTGTAAGCCAACTAGAAAACGCCAGTAATATCCAAGCTTTAGTCACAAATCATTTTGTTATCATTAATTGCGATAAAATATTTTGCTAGCAGATGAATTTTGCTTGCTCTCATTCACTCAAACGAAGCGATTTTTTCATAGGGAAAAAAGACCAGGAAAACGTTTCACAGAAGTCCTTTAGCCCTCTTACTTGTCTACACTCCCAGACCAAAATGCTTTTTTAACCAAGATAAAACAGCGGTAGTCCAATTAAATACGTATGGGTTAATTTAATGAATTAATTGATTTATAAGAAATACACGGCTACATTATTTAAGTGCAGCACTAAAAATTAATATTGAATTTATAAGTTCAGAGTAATTTTTTGGGCTGCACCTCTTTTGTGTTCCGCTTGTGGTTAACACAGTTGTGTATCAGATTATTTGAAAAAAAAACCATGAAAAGTGCCATTTGCACGTAACTTATCGTCGTCAGAAGGTCTTCAGAAAATCTGCCACTGAGAACCGCTTTTCAGAACAAATACAGGGTTACTACTTATTATGGAATATTGTTTTTGGCGAGTTAATTTTCTATAAAATATTTATTTTCTCTCTAACTACTTTAAATCCAAAACTGAGGTGTCACTCCATGTGTAGCCAGGTGTGTTACCTAATTACCACACAACTCTCGAAGCAATTGATGCATGCAGTTGCATGTTCTGTGGTCGGAAATGTAAGGGGTGGTATTTTCGGCAATTTCTGCCCTTGTGTAAAAGCGCATGGGTTTGGCCAATCTTTGGAGTGTATTTAGAGAAGCAACGAAGGGATCGCTCTGAAACTTGACAGGTACCTTAGAGAAGATATGGTTCGACAGCTAAGCAGCGCAGCTTACTATGGGATTCTTGCTCTCAGAGAAAATGGCCACAAACGGACTGTCATTGCCAGGCAATGCAACATTTAACAGGAACCGTTAGTTAAGTTTTCCAAAGAAATGTTACAACAGGGGCACCTACTCCAATACCTTGACCAGGGTGTCCGCATATCACACCAAGAAGACAGAATCGCCTTTTCCTTAGAGTTCGCCGTGCTTGGTCGTACAAAGACAACCAGTGCCCTCAGAAAAGAGTGGCAGAATGTCATTCAAACGCCCGTTTCAAGGTCCCTCGTGAAAAAGAGATTACTGCAAGCCGATAATTTTGCACGAAGACCAGTAGGGAAAGCACTGTTAACAGCAGGTCATAAACAGCGACGTCTGCAATGGGCTGGTGACCACGTGCCTTTGCAGCCAATACACTGGAATCAAGTCGTTTTCGGTGATGAGGCCAGATATGGAGTTTTTAGGGTTGGCGGTCGAATCCGTGTCCGCCGACGTGTACGAGAGGCATAAATCGATGATTGTGTACCTCCTGGGTGCAAGAAGGGGGTGGTAACGTCTCTGTTTGGAGAGCATTTGATGCCCTTGCCCAGAACCAGTTGGTTTTTCTAGGAGGCAACCTCAACCAGGGTTCCTACCGAGACATTCTACAGCAAACAATGCTTCAATTTGTAAGAGTAATCTTCAGGAACAAATTTGTGTACCAAGACGACTACGAAACCCCACATCGAGCTCGCAGAATCACTGTTTTTCTTCGAAACCAATGGGTTCAGCAACTCCCCTGGCCTAAAAACTCCCCAGATATAAACCCAATTGAAAATCTGTGGGTGGAAGTAACTCAAAGAATTAATAACTATGGTCATCGGGCGGTAAGTAGTGATGAACTGCGACAGGCAAATAACACTGCGTGGAATGATATCCCCATCCAAACTCTATAAAACTTGTCACAGGGTATGCCATGTAGGATGAGGGCGCTGCAAGCGGCTGCTGGAGGTCATACCAGCTATTGATGACTTTTCATGATTTACTGTAATGAGGTCTTCGACTGTGTAACATATCACTGTCCGGAGGCTATCATTTTCTTTAATATCTTAGCTTAAAATTAATACTGACAGTTAACTGTTGATATGGTTTTCTGGGGGTGTTCTTTTCTTTTGAATGACATCTTATGTCAGATGTGATATTATTGACCAAAATATCTAACAATAGAAGACTGGATATTTTTATAACTCAATGACATACTTTTTTCATGAATCGGGTCAAAAAAAATTTAATCAGCACTCAAAAATAACAACGATAAAAAAATATTCCATATTAAGTGGTAACCCTGTAGATAGATCGAACACTTTATACCCTATCAAAGGGCAAGGAAGAGCACATACCAAGGCCCAGTTAAAAAGTTTTTACATTGTACGTCAACTGTACATGTTAATGCAGCAGACAACGTCTTACAAAGACTTAGTTTTGGTCAAGTGGTACTGGAGTCATACTTCGCCATGTAACGATTTAAAATCGGCATGATTATACTCGAAATTTGAAAGCTGCTGTTGGTTCTCATTTTCGTTCAAAACAACCGTCAATATATGAGTCCATCAAAAAGCCGCGACCCATTCCTATACGGCACGTAGCGTGCTCGTGAAAAATCGAAAGGTTAGATAAATAGACGATGAAACGCTCTGATAATTGAAACTTAAATTGGCGATTTGTCAATTCCATTAATAAGGAGTTGTTATGTTCTAGTCAGATGGGACACCATTCGAGAATGAACGCCCTGTTCGAATTATATGCTATTAAGGGTCATTAAGTGCCTTTTGGGGCAAGTTCATCCATAGCGCGCCACGGAAATGAGTTTTCGATCAAGTAAGGCCCACGCCAGGATTTTTACATAAGAATTAATTGCTGAGGTCCGCTTCACAAAAGAACTTAAGTCCAAAATTCTGTCAGAACTTTTAGACCCAAAATGCTAGTACATTTAGTTCATGAAAAATCTACAGTGGTCCATTTATACAGGGGCAAAGAGAGGTCTGAAGTACAAGCCCAGTCTTTCTTGTTATAAGGCAATATAGTTCAATTGATCATGACCGACTACTGGTCCATCTTGGGTCAAAGCAGACTACAATGAGGGTCTAAGGACCCATTCAGA